TACCCTAGAAGAAGGTATGATGTATTTAGAAAAGTCAGAATTTAGAAAACTCATTACTTTCTCCAAGAAATTTTAAGCATTTCACTGTGGGTTGAGCTAGGAGCCTAGAATACAAAACAAAGTAACTCCAGCCCTGCTCTCAAGGGGTTTGAAGACTAATGAGAAAACAGAATTTAAACCAATCACTTCGGTAGTGAGCTAGATGGTAAAGAAGAGGTATAGAAGGCAACGATGGACATTGGACAAGTGCTTGACTCTATCAGGAAATCTTTCACAGTGATTGCTGTCACCTGTATTCTTATTCAGATCTTTCACAAAATATTTTAGCAAGTTGTAGCAAGAGCCTTAAAATATGTTTGTACTCTTTTACTCAAAAATTCCATGACTAGGTATCAGAGCTGTTGACCAAAACTTAGGTATAAGGAAGATTATCACAGCATTATTTACAATCATGAAAACCTAGAAACAACCTATGTGTTCAGCAGTGGAGTAATGGTTAAATAAGTTATGGTACATCCAAGCCATGTGATTTTATTCACTCTTTGTAAAAAATAAATAAATAAATAACATATTAAAAGAACATTTCTAACAAGCAAAAATGATTATAACATAACAGAGTTTAAAAACGATGTAAAAATGTTTAATCAACTATCATCCTAATTTTGTAATAAAACAATTAAAAAGTAGTTGTCAACATCAGTTGTAATTTTCACCCATATCCTACTTCTAAAGTTCTTCCTTAATTTGGACCTAGCAGACAACAAAAGGGGTGCGGTTTCTCCTTGTTCTGTGTGAAATCAAAAGCACTGGCTTTTGTTTCTTTCCCTCTAAATTGCAAGTGCAATTCTAGATTTGCAAATCACTTAGTCTCTAAGTCACATTCTCTTTATGGTACTCAGGCTGGTTAGGAAATGAAGAAAGTTCAGGTGAAGAAAGGAGGGGTCCAGAAGCAGAGCATTACCATGAGAAAGGAGAACCACTATGAGGGCAGTGAGGGCGTAAGGACCAAAAAGTTTGTTTTCGCTCATTGAGAATGAGTTACTGGCATTGAGTAGCTCAGGGTTGGAACATAAACACATACATAAGAATGTATATAAGAAATGTCATATGTAAGCATGTATATATAAGAAATGTCACAATGCAGTACATGATTAACTGCCACATAAAAGGCACTATGGACAACAAATGTTACATAAGTTAGGAGGAGCTTGGTGGAGCTATCATTTGGTTAGAAATATGTCCAAGGGTACCTCAAAAAGTATGAGGAAAAATAGAAGTAAAAGATAACATGAATCTTTCCATGAACTTTTT